TGTGGAACACAGCTGAACACGTGTGATGAGAACAGAGAACAGGTCTGAAAACAGATCACACGATCACAACATTGACAGTGCGTTCGCTCTGTCTGTGTCTCAGGACCTGAAGTGGGTGGAGGAGAAGCAGGCGTTGTATCGGAGGAATCAGGAACTGGTGGCGAAGGTGAATCGCATTTGTCAATCGTGACGTCTCAGTAAATATACACACAAATTCTTCCGAATCAAAAAGAACAACTTGCATTTGGTATATTTGGTATTTGGCTGAGAATAGACTTAATGTCACACGTAACAACGGATGGTTTGCAGGTCAGGCAGATGGAAGGTGAAGAGCTGCGACTGAAAAACGACATCCAGGATGCCAAAGACCAGAACGAGCTGCTGGAGTTCAGGATCCTGGAGTTAGAGGTGAAAACGTTGCAGATGCCAGTAACAGCGTCTCAAACTTCCAGACGTTTACCTGCGATTTCTGTTTGCTGTTCAGGAGAGGGAGCGGCGCTCACCCGCCATCAATTTCCAACAGCTCCATTTCCCAGAAGGCCTCAGTCCTCTACAGGTTTACTGTGAGGCAGAGGGAGTCACTGTGAGTACATCCGTCAGTACACCTGAGTGCACCTGTAAATATCTCTGAGGGGTGCACTGCCAGCATATTCAGCATATCCAGGCTTTCGCTGTGTTAGCTGGCTGAACTAAGCTACACTTTCACTGTTAAACTGGGCCTGAAAGGTGCGTTTGATTTGTCATTTCATTCTCTTTACAAATGGATCAGCTGAGCTCCTTTTGCTCCAGTGAGAGGAGTTATTAGAGGAATGCTGACAGATCTATAAAAATGTAAAAGAAAATAAAGTGCTGCAGAAGATTATTGAATTTGTGCTCATCAAGCAGCAGTGAGATAAATCTATTATAGCCATCCGTTTTCTTTATCCAATTCAGTGTTGTGGGGGGACTGCAGCACATCCTCGCTGTCATAGGGCGATGGGCGGGGTACACCTGGACAGGTCACAGGTTTGTCACTGGGTTAATACAGAGACAGACAACCACTCACAGCTTTTTATTTCTAGGGTTCACGCTGCATCTGTGAACCCTTAGGCGCTGAAGTTTGGTCAGTGTTCAGTCACAGACGTAGAAATTAGTCTGTCACAGATTCAAGTCGTCGCATTCACATCAGAGGCCGGTAGAGTCGCAGCAGCAGATCTGGATTAAGAAAAGCTCCGGTTGGAGTTTAGAACAAACATCCCTGTGATGCAAGATAACTAAAAATCATCCTCAACATGTCGATGCTGTTTGTGCTGAATACCCCTGAACACACCTTTAACCTGTTTCTTGGTGCACTGAAGTAGTGTCCCGTCTGAAGCCTCGACATAATAAGTCTTTGACACCATTGGACCTACTGTCCGATTATTAACACCATGCCGTGTACTGGATCAATCCGGCGCCCGTTGCTCGGTCAGGCCCCTTCCAGGGGTGGGGGGCTCAGTCCCCTCTTCGGTTGGCGGCTGCTGGCGGAGCCTGTGGCGATGTCGCCACAATGGTGATGTGCCCAGCTGCTCCTCCGGTACTCTGGGGGGCCTCTGGATGTCTGGGATCATCTCCATGTCTGCTTCATGGCTCGCAACACCTGCTATTACAAACAAACAAGCTTTGTCTGTAATAGCCGAGCCGCGGACAGCCGCTGGCTTGGTTCTTAGCACTGGGAGTCTAGCCAGGACCCTCAGTGGATACTTAGTGGGAATCGAACTTGCACCTCCCACTCCAAAGTGGGATGTGTAGTCTTACCACTACACTATCCAGCTGCACTTACATGGAGGAACCTTATGAATACAAGTGCGCTTGCACACACAGGTGTTCACACCTGAGTACCTGTTTGTCCACACCTGTGTTCACAGACACACACTTCTTCCTTGGCTGCTGCCTCCATGCGTTGTCGTTGCGTGCTGCTCCGCTCAGTTTTTATTGTTTACTCTTAGTTCTGCTTATCTAGGTTGTTGCTGTGGTCTCCCTCCTGTGTTGTTCTCTTTCTGCCAGCAGGTGATCCAGCTGATCTTTTCTCTCTGTCGCGCTTCCCCTCTGCTTTTCTTTCCCTCTCCTTTTTTGGAAGGTCGCTTGTCTTTGTCTTTCCCTTTTCTATCCACGGGTCCTGTCTGTTCCAATTGTAATAACTTAAAAGAATAAATAATTAATAAAGATCAATCAAGTGGATGAATAATGATCCACTTGGAAAAATAAATCAGGTGGGCATCACCAAATTTCCCCTTGTGGGACAATTAAAGGATTATTCTATTCTGTTTCTCTTGGCCTTCAAACTATAATTCATGTTGCCAGAGTTCTCTGAGCTCCCTTTCGTGTCCAAAGTCCTGGAGAAAATTGTCTGCGTCCAGCGCCAGGCTCAAAGTGCTACACAGCACTGAAACTATGCCTTTAAAAGTTTTTAATGATCTTTTATTAATGCCATTTAAGTGCTTTTAGACCTGAGCACTGCATTTGATAAAGTGGGTCATGATGTTGTAGTGTCCAGACTGCTGTGGGTATTAAGGCACCTGCCCTTGATTGGTTTAGATTCTATTTAAGCAGCAGAATGTTTTCTGTCAGGTCCATCCATCCATCCATGTGGAGTCCCTCAAGGCTCTACCCTTGGCCCAGCGTTTTCTCCTTTCACGTGCTCCCATTAGGCTCTGTTTTCAGAAAATATGGATTCTCTTTTCACTGTTTTGCTGATGATTCACAAATCTTTCCTCTTAAAAAGAATTCTACAGACTTTGAAAGTTTTGCGTGACTGTCTTCATGATATTAAATCATGGCTGGCATTAAATGTTTTGAATGTGAACAATCAAAAAGCTGAGATTGTCCTATGTGGACCTTCTGACCCTCGTTCTTCTCTTAAGGGTGACCTTGACCCTCTGCGAAAAGCAGAACTGCCTTTGCAAAATTCTGGGAATGTTATTTGATGACAGGTTCATATTGAGAAACTGCTGTTAAAGGCTTCGAGAGAGTAGCTAATGCGAGTAATTGATCCAGACCTGGCAGCAGCTCTCTCATCTTCAGCTCTCGCGTGTTTACGTGTGCTCCTGACAGGCAGGCGTAAACGCGACCGTATTTCCCCGTCTAGGCTTGTTTGCGTTCTGGCTTCCAGCACGTTATAGAATTGATTTTAAGATGTTATTGCTTGTTTTTAAGTCTCTAAGTGGATAAGCTTCGCCGTACCTCTCTGATCTTTATCTCATGCTTTAAACTGAAGGCTGCTTCTGACTGAAACACAGGAGGGGCCTTTGCTGTGTGTAAACTTTGGACAGTTTGCTTCTTCAAATTAGGGTCTCTCCATCTGAAGACACATCCTTACTCTCTAGCTTTTAATTGTGACTGAGTTGTTTTGCTTTTGTGTCTTGTCGTCTACTTGTGTGTGTTTATTTTTTCACTGTGTAATGGTTGTTTTTGTGATTTGCCCATCAGGACATTGTGATGAGTGAGCTGATGAAGAAGCTGGACATTCTGGGAGATAACGCCGTAAGTGTATGTTGAATTTATTTTGTACATGTCTGTGTCACTGAAACATGTGATCCATGTAATCCGCTTGTGGCTTCACGTGTGTTGAATGTGTGCATTTTGTAAACATGCTGTTTAGTAACCGTGGTGACACGTTCCCTGTTTCATTAGTGAGTCCTTTCTGATGATCAGTGAATAAATCTGAGTTTGTGTCGGGACAACAATCATTTCCATGTTGAGCGTGTTGTTTATATATTGCTGACATGTTGTTTTTCTGTAGAATCTGTCCAATGAAGAGCAGGTGGTGGTAATACATGCCCGGACGGTACTCACTCTAGCAGAAAAGGTGAGCGTCCCACCTGTCAGTTCTCAGAGAGCTGAGGTTTCTGCTCTCTGACAGGATGCAGATAAAGTTTCTTATTCTTTGCACCTCTCAGAGTTATTGGCACAGGGAAATAGCAGGTTCGCATAGTGAGATTGAGGACGTGGAATAACTGACGGCTCATCAAAGTTTACATAAGATCAGTCTGATCTCGTAAAGTTGCTGTTGCTCTCGGCAGGTATCAGGTGAACAGTCAGACAGCTCGTCGCTATTGTTTCACAAAGCTGTTTGCTCTGTCTCTGCGAGGTAACAATATATAATGTGTGCACATGCAAAAATACCATGTGATTCACGAAACATGAACACCAGCTAAGTTGGCTCTTACCATCATGTGTTTGTTAATGGACTAGAATAAATTCAAACAGCAGGTACTTTGCATGTCTGTAGGATAGGGCTGCCACGATTAGTCGACTAGTCACGACTGATTTAATAGTCGACGCGTCGTTTGAAGCTTTGTAAGATCACAAAAGACGCAGGAATAAGTAGCAGGATTTAAGAGTGTAATAACGGACTGAAACAGAAGATGGCAGCACTGCATGTACAAGGATGCCAGCTGCCGTTAAACCCCGAAGAAGAAGAGCTGTGTCCCAGAATTCATAGCGCAGCCCAGCTCAGTTTCCAACAATGGCGGCAGCTAGTTAGTTTTAATATTACTCTTATTATTCTTTCTGGGTCACAAAATAAACGTTTAACATATTTTCAGGCGAGAATGTAGCTGTGTAAACCTCAAATATCTGCTCAGTTTATCAAGACACCACATATTTTCAAAAGTTTATTAAACTTCACCGAAACAATCTGCAAATTCATTAAAATTGAATAAACTATCATCTTGTCTTTATTTTTAGTTAGCACCTTAAAAGCTTAAAGCTGTAAGCTAATGATAGTTATATAAGAGCAGATGCTGCTGGTGCAATAAGCTGTAGTTTTACGTCCAGTGGATGATGATCTGATTAGTCGACTAATCGCATAAATAATCGGTGACTAGTCGACTATCAAAATAATCGTTTGTGGCAGCCCTACTCAGAAGATACAGAAAAACAAAGTGTCAGAAACATTTAAAGACAAGTCTTTAGGTGAGATTTAAAGATGCTGAGTGTTGATGAGGTTCCCAGATTCTCCAGCATCTGTGGGTTAATAAAAGCTTTGAAAAGTAGTTCTCAGTATACTCTAGTATCCCGTGACACAGCCCGGTCCTCGTCGTTTGTTCATATGCGTCACCTGAGGCTCCTAAACTGTTTGTTTGGGATGAACGAGTTCAGGTGAGAAACAGAGTTCACACAAATCTGTGTGAACTCTGTGAATAAAGCTGAACATACACAGAAATTTAAAGATGAACTTGGATTGATGAGGAGGACAGGCAGTGCACAATCAATATCTGCTTTACGACCAGCCTGTCTCTGTCTACCTGTCTGCCCACCTGTCTCTCTTTACCCCCTTTCAGTGGCTGGAGTCCATTGAAGTGACAAAATCGGCCCTGCAGCAGAAAATGTTGGACATCGAGAGTGAGAAGGTGAAAGACATAGTGTATCTGGTCTCTGTTGGGACTTTTTTCTACTTGCTGAAATCATGTGATCTGATCTCTGGTCTGGTCAATGACACTAGATCCATCTGAATTATGAGGCTAAAATAAGTGCTCTGTGGTGAGTCGGTCCAGTAAGAAGAGCGTGGTGATCGCGAGCTGGACAGGAAGCTTTTAGTTTCAACTCTTTCATATGTCGGAGTCTGTTTGTACAGAAAACATTAAAAGGCCTTAGCGGTTTGTAAAGCAGCAGTATCCATGTTGGGAAGTTGTTGTCTGGGGTGAATAAATGTGGTGTCAGTGAAGATGCTGTTGTTTTCTAGGAGCTGTTCAGTAAGCAGAAAGGTTACTTGGATGAAGAGCTGGACTACAGGAAGCAGTCGATGGATCAGGCCCATAAGGTCAGTGAATAGCTGAACCTGTACTGTGGAGAGGTCAACCAAATGACTGAGAGCAAGTCTTTGAGCCTGTTCTGATATCATTGGCCTGTTGATCAGTGGGCTTTGATCAATGGTTGTCAATCTGCATATTAATGATCAAGGAAATGACTTCACGGCCCGTTGTTCGTTCAGTGGTGCTCGTTTCAGTCATTGTGCAAATGTCCTGTTTATAAAGTTGGGGAAACCTGCACCTGGATGAGTGACAAAACGTTTCTCCCACTGAAAACATCCAAATGAACAGGATCAACATTTTGGGATTTCCTTAGCTGGATGATTGAGCAACAACAATGACAGCGCAAAAATGTTTCTTTGATCCAGAGGATCCTGGAGCTGGAGGCCATGTTGTTTGAGGCTCTGCAGCAGGAAGAGGAATCCAAGATAGAGGGATTAAAGATGGAGGGTCGACTGTCTGAGAGTCTGACAGAGGGAGAGCGAGAGGAGCTGAGGAGAGCCATGGACCAGTGGAAACGAACTGTGATGTGTGAGCTCAGAGAGAGAGATGCCCAAATCCTTCGAGAGCGGATGGAACTACTGCAGCTCACCCAACAGGTAAACCACTGAAATGAGCACAGGTACACTATTATGATTTCTCCTTTGTAGTCTGTAATCAATGATGTTGTGTTTGTCAGCGGAACAAGGAGCTGGAAGAATTTATAGAAGCACAGAAACGACAGATTAAAGAGCTGGAAGAGAAGGTAAAGACAAATCAAACAGAAACATGTATGTAAAAAACTGCTTCCTCTGACATCGACAGATTTTGCACTGCTTTCTTCTTCTTTCAGTTCCTTTTCCTGTTTCTCTTCTTCTCTTTGGCCTTCATCCTTTGGTCCTAACAGCAGCAGGTTGGTCACACTTTCCCAGGTGTGCAGAGTTTACCTGTTGGATCTCTGTGTAGTAAAATGTTTGCTCTGCTTTAGTGTGTGCAGACCACCACAGTCCAGCAGCTGAGTGGCCAGGTCAGCTCAGTCTGGATCAGACCAGGAGGACCTGAAAGGATTCCTGGAACCAGCAGCTCACCAACCGAGGGTCTATGGGTTCTCTGTTGCCAGCCAATCAGAGCAGAGCCCAGCTGTCAGCTGGCTCTCAAACTATCCTGTTACACGTTCCTAGAATGCCACTGTGCTGTCTCACAATGACTGATGGCTTCGTTTCAGCTTGCTGATGTTCAGCTAAGTAAAAGAGTCTGGCCCAAACTGGTGTTGGACTCTTACTAGCTAAACTAGGTGACACCCTATATGATTAGCTTAGGTCGCTGATTTTGAAGTTGTCAGATGGGGTTGGTTCAGTAACCTGTGACAGAGCTGAACCTGAGCTCAGCAGAGTTAGGCTGAAGAGCAAAATCTCTATAAGAACTAGACATAAAAACATCACAAACCAGCCTGACAGAAGTTTAGTTCAATAATTCTTTGTTCTGATTGGCTGTTCCACCTGAAGAGCAGACAGTGAATTTAGCTCCTCCCGCTTTATTCACAGAGCTAAGGTCACACCTGGTTCGTCTGCAACAGAAGAAGGACCTCCACAATGTCAGGAGGTCTGTTAGGAGATAAGAGTGAAGTGAAGTGGTCCAGATAAACCAGGTTCAGCAGGTCCAGATAGACCCGGTTAACCAGGTCCACATAAACCAGGTTCACTGGCGTCCGGTTAAATACTGCATCGATTTCAAGATACTTTTGTACACATTCAAGGCTACCCATCATCTCTCACCTTCATACCTCTCTGACCTGGTTCAAATCACCATTCCTTCTCCGTATCTCAGATCCTCCTCCTCTCTTTCTCTTCCATCCCTTCCCCTCGACTAGCCACCGTGGGGCGCAGGGCTTTCTGTTGCTCTGCCCCCGACTTTGGAACATCACTTCCATCCCTCTATATAAGTCCAGACTCAAAACTCACCTATTCACATTAGCCTATTCCACATAAATCTTTCCATCCTGCTACTTTAATTTATTTGATCTATTTGCTCAACGTTTTATCATTATTATTTTGTAAATTGTTATGTTTGTTGTTGTTATTGCTTGTGTACAGTGTCCTTGAGTGTTTTGAAAGGCGCTTTCTTAAATAAAATGTATTCATTCATTCATTCATTATTCATGAGGTCCAGATAAACCAGGTTCACCAGGTCCAGATAAACCAGGATCAGGAGGTCAAGATAGACCAGGTTTACTGGGTCCAGACAAACCAGGTTCATGAGGTCCAGATAAACCAGGATCACCAGGTCCACACAAACCAGGTTCATGAGGTCCAGATAAACCAGGATCAGGAGGTCAAGATAGACCAGGTTTAGCTGGGTCCAGACAAACCAGGTCGAGTCAAGATGACCAGGTCAGCGAAGATAAACCAGGTATGTCCAGAAAACCAGGTTCACCAGTCCACAAAACCAGGTTCAGAGGTCCAGATAAACCAGGATCAGGAGTCAAGATAGACCAGGTTCATGAGGTCCAGATAAACCAGGTTCACCAGGTCCACACAAACCAGGTTCATGAGGTCCAGATAAACCAGGATCAGCGAGTCAAGATAGACCAGGTTCATGGGTCCAGATAAACCAGGATCACCAGGTCCACACAAACCAGGTTCATGAGGTCCAGATAAACCAGGATCAGGAGGTCAAGATAGACCAGGTTTACTGGGTCCACACAAACCAGGTTCATGAGGTCAGACAAACCGGGTTCAGGAGTTCCAGATACACCAGGTTCACCGGGTCCAGACAAACCGGGTTCATGAGGTCCAGGCACACAAGGTTCACCAGGTCCAGATAAACTAGGTTCAGGAGTTCTAGATTAACCAGTCTCACCGGGTCCAAACAAGCCAGGTTCATAAGGTGCAGGAAAACCAGTTTCATGAGGTCCAGAGAAACCAGGTTCACCGGGTCCAGACAAACAAGGTTCAGACTGTGTTTAATTTGATGGAGAGAAGCACAGCAGTAGTCTCTGATCTTGAGGTGCTAGATATCCTGGATTTAGGTCCTGGGAATGACTCCCAATATGTTTCTGTTCCTAAATCCATATCTAAATAATGTCACAGAACTAAAACTAAACTATATCACAATATATAATATATGATTGATTAGTATTACATGAAATGATGCACCTTTTCACTTTACACTGAAGTTACCGGATATTGTTAAATAAAAGGTTTAATTATAAAAAAGCTAAAGACTTTGTATTTTGGTTAATACCTACGTTACATTAATATTTTTAAAGCTTTTGTTTCTTTTGGGTTTCTGCCAGCAACCGTATTTGACTTCAAATTCTGCACTTTGTCATTTTGACCATTTACCATTTCTCTGAGTTATCCTCAGTGTTCAAATGAAGCAGTATCAGAATCTGTTGTTTTAAAAGTTGCATCCTGCTGTTGTACTTTTATTATTCCAGATGATATTTTTCTATCCCTGCTGTGAGTCTAAACACTGAACATCTGAAGAGTTGGCGATTAAAAATGGAAACCGAACAAGGAGCAGTCTGTGTTTTGTTGCTTATGTCGGATTATTGAGTCCAAGTGCATTTTCACCAGAATAATCCAAATCAGTTCAGCATCATTCAAAGACCAGTAATTCACAACAACAGTCAACTAAATATACTTTAATAAGGTAAAGACGACACAAAATTAGTCACAGCACCCATATAAGCATCAATGGTGACAGTGGGAAGAAAAAACTAGAATAGAATAGAATGCCTTTATTTATTGCAGGATTATTCTTTCCAAGATTTTGGCCATCAAAGGAAGTTTAGAGATTGGCCTATAGTTTGAAAGAACATTTGGATCAAGGTTACTTTCTTGATAACAGGTTGCACAACAGCATGTTTGAAGGCAGACAGAACGCAGCCTGATAACAGTGAGGAGTTCATTAGGAGTAGGATACAGGTCCAATGATGTTCAGAGCATCCTTAATAATACGGGAAGGAAGAATGTTGTGGCAGGAGTTCGAACTTTTCAATGAATTTATTATTTCCTTAAGAGTCAGGAGAGTCACAGGCTCAAACTGTTGAAAGACTGTTGAGCATTCAGAATTTAGGTTTTGGTTTGCTGCTGATAGATTTGTGGCCCTTAGTGCTGAGATTTTATCTATAAAATAATTTAGGAATTTTTCACAGAGAGCTGGGGAGGCCTCCGTCAAAGTGGCAGAGGAAGGGTTAATCACTGAATTGGGGTTTGTGGCTATTAGTTGCAATGATTTCCGACAGGAAAGAAGCTTTTGTGACTTTAACAGCCTTCTGATATTTCAAACGGCAGTTCTGCAAAATGTCCAAGGAAATCTGGAGTTTGTCTTTTTTCCATCTCCTTTCGCCTCAGCAGCATTCGCATTACATATTTCGACATTAAACATAACTGGGAAGTGGTCCGAAATTCCAGCATTGCTGATATCCATAATGCAAATGTCCAAGCCATATGACAGTACGAGATCAAGTGTGTGGCCTTTAATGTGCGTTGGTTTGCTTACTCACTCTGAGTGAGAGAAAAAGGGTCAACGAGAGCCAGAAAATCTGTGACCAGCGGGTCTGATTCACAACAAACATGAATGTTAAAATCACTGGTAATAAAAATATAGTCGTAACTTAAAAAAAGATTACCTAAAAGATCGGCGAACTCACAAACAAACTTACATTTTGGCGGTCGGTACACAACAGCACAGAGGATCGAGGGGGCAAAGTTTAACTCCAGTAGCTGCACTTCGAAGCTGGAGGGCAAGGCAGGAGGCAAAAGCCGTGCTCAGAATTTGTTTTTAAAAACTGAGGCTAGCCCTCCACCATTGCAGTGGAAGAAGTTCCGAAAGGGAAAAGGACTCACCAGGACGAATCCAGGTCTCCGTCAGAAATAAGAAGTCCCTGTGACCTGGTGTTTAGCACAGCCATCTGGATTGTGGTCTTATTGTTTCTTGGAGGACGCCTCAGCAGGCGTAGATTGCTGTGGTTCACGCCACCTCCACGGGCCCGCATCCAGCTCCAAGCAGGTAGAAAGTCAACCGGTAAGTCCGAGTGGGCATCCTGTCCGACATGGCGGGCGATGGCAAAACAGTCTGAAAGTAGACTGATCCCGGGAGGAAGCTAGGGGGCGTAAGATATCCGAGATGTCGGAGTAGTTAATCACTTCGTGTGGTTTTAAGTAGAGAGGTTGAAGATTCTGGTGAAGATGAGGGTGAGCTGGTGGGCACACGCTCTTAGCACCTTGCCAGGTACTTCCTGGGGTTCACTGCTAGGAGCACACGTCTGACATCGTGCTCCGTTACAGTGAATGGAGCGGTGCAGGATCCAGGTGAGGATGAGGATGGGAGCAGGGCTAAAGCAGGTGAGTGCTGCTGTTGCTGTGTTTCAAAGCGGGTGAAGAAGCTGTTTATTTCCTCTGCCAGCTGCACACTCAGGTTTTCTGTTTTCACAGCCTCTGTGGTTGATGATGTCTTGCATTCCCCACCACACCTCTCGTGTGTTGGTGCTGGACAGCTGGGACTAGATGCTTCTTTTGTGGTCTGTCTTGGCTTTTTCCCATTTTCAGGTCAGGTCAAGCAGCCCTGTACAAATCTCTGTCACCTGACCTGAAGGCGGCTTCGCGGGCTTTGAGGAGTGTGCGGACCTCGTGGGTCATCCAGGGTTTTTGGTTTGGGGAAAACCAGAATGCTTTTGTCCACAGTCACATTTCCAATACAGAACTTGATATAGTCCAGCACTGATCCTGTGAAAGTTTCCGGTCCTGGTGTTCAAATCTGTCTCAGTACACACAATATCAGATCCGACTTTCATAAGACATGAAAAGATAACAGCCATGCGGTTTTTTAGATATTGAAATGAAAGTGAAGATAGTCTATTTTGCAGTCCGAGTCCAACATTTGAGTATCTTGGGATGGTGTTCATGAGTGAGGGGAGTGGAAGATTAAGTGAAGAAAGGTGGACTCACTCTGGTTGCGTTTCACGCCATCCTGGGAGGATTGTTTCTTAGTTCCGAAGGTTCTCTGTGTTTGTGCAGAAGAGTCAGCATCTTATTTTACATTCTGATGAAGATTTCCAAAGATCCTGCAGAACATTTTCATCAGAAACTTCCACTCACTTTAAACATGAAGTAGTTTCAGCCGTCTCTCCCTCTCTCTTCCTTTTTTCTTTACTGTGTTTGGATCATTCAATAACCTGATGTTTGTTGTTACAACCTTTGTTTACTTTCTGACTGCGGTCGCCCTGCATTCAGTTTAAGAACTCTGAGCAGATACTCTGACTTCATTTTCAAAGAGGAAAGCTTCATGTGGGCATGAACTACAGACTTTGTTACAGTTCACTGGCTGTGTGTGTGTGTGTGTGTGTGTATGTTTTTGTGTGTGATTAGATGGAGTAAATCTGACAGGCAAAGAAATCAAGTTCAAACTGCAGCAACTTCAGAGCATCAGCAGTAATGAGCACTGACGTGTGTGTGTGTGTGTGTGTGTGTGTGTGTGTGTGTGTTGGTCACGACCTTCGTCTGATTCAAAGCTGATAAAGTCAGAGATATCAGTGAGTGAGGAGGTGTGAGGGTATGCTGAGCAATAAAGATGAACTCCTGAGAGAGAAAAGGAGACAAAGGACAGACCTGTGAATCTGATTGGTTGAAGGTTTGTGTTCTCCTCCTCCTCCCTCTTAATCTTACTTTGGGCCCATGACCTCCTTTCTTCCCTTCTTCCTCCTCCACCTCCTCCACATCCTGTCGGTTCGTTTATCGTCTGAGATCTTCATCCTCCCCGCCTCCTCCTCCTTTTCTTCTCTTGCTTGTTTCTGATCAGGTCACATCTCTCCAGGATGTCTGAGAGGAGGTGCTCCCCGGAGGACGACTGCTCTTCTCTCCTTTCGCGGCTCGGCTCAGACTCTCCTCGACCTCGGATGAAGTACGGCGGGATGTTCTGCAATGTCGAGGGAGCGTTCGAGAACAAGACACTGAACTTTGAGTCGTTGGGTCTGCGGCCGCAGCGATGCCAAGCCACTTGCACCCGCAGCCGAGATGGAGGCCACGCCGCCAGAAGAGGAGGAGGACACACATCTGGACACACTCGGGAAAATTGTGGCAAGAGAGAGGTTTGTATTATTTCTAGTGAATTGAAAATGTGAGTTCTGTTTATCCTTGTAATGCTCATATCCTGCTGATCTCACCTTCCAACCTTCACACAACTCAGAGTTACCGACCATCAGATGGTGAGTGTTTATTTTGCTTCAGTCATTTGTTACAGATAAGTATAGTCATGTGACACATCATTGATAAGACGACTTGGAACAACTTTGTATCGTATTACAAAGTTCATGGGCATACGGTTAGTGTGACCCCAGGCTGTGGAGACTTCACTTCATTTCCCGTTTTTCTTCCTTCCACTTCAGTTTCTAATGAAATGTCACAGACACAGTACACGATTCAGTTTCACTTTAAAATAATTATTCAGCAATTCATATCCTCCCCACGGTCACAGCAGACAGGTCTGTTACATCACGTTCTCATCCCTCGTGCAGTAAATCACAACGATTAATTGCTCTCAGAAGTTAGAGGCTGATTGTAGATTTGTTTCTTCTATCCGCTCATCTCATAAATAATTAAAGACTTCATTCACTGTACTGTGATTACTGAGCGTACTACAGTAACACCTCCCTGGGTAATGCTATATTTTAGTACGATACCGAACTAAATATTAGGGATGGGAATCCTCGTGCTGCTCCCTACAGTACTGACTAAAAACTAAAAGAACTGAGAACCTGAAACAAGGCTCAGCAGCAGGTACACTCAGGTGTGGTATATTTAGGTATTTGAGAGGGGTTACTTGTTACATGTAAGGAAATATCAGTCTGATATCAGCAGCATATCAATCAGACACACATCTCCAAAAGTTGAATCTGTTCATCTGGACGTAGCGTTTTTGTGGGAGAAACGTTTCATCACTCATCCAAGTCACTTGGATTGCCAAGTGACTTGGATGAGTGACGAAACGTTTCTCCCACAAAACGCTACGTCCAGATGAACAGATTCAACTTTTGGAGATTTACTTTCCTGGATGATTGAGAATGCATCAAGACAATCAGACACACAGATACGGTACCCCGACCCCAAACATTAAACCACACTAATTTACTTCAACAACCATGAAATACCAACCAACAAAATGGTAAATGGCCTGTATTTATATAGCGCTTTACTCAGTCCCTAAGGACCCCAAAGCGCTTTACACTACATTCAGTCATTCACACACTGGTGATGGCAGCTACATTGTAGCCACAGCCACCCTGGGGCGCACTGACAGAGGCGAGGCTGCCGGACACTGGCGCCACTGGGCCCTCTGACAACCGCCAGTAGGCAAACATGGGGTTAGTATCTTGCCCAGGGATATTTGGCACGTAGACAGGAGGAGCCTGGGATCGAACCACCAACCTTCCGGTGAGTGGGTGACCCGCTCTACCACCTGAGTTACAGCCACCCCACCCCGACAACAACCAAACCCCAGCCAACAATCAACAACCACAAAACACCAACCACCAACCACCGAACACCAACTAACAATCAACAACCACAAGACACCAATCAACATCCACCAAACACCAGCCAACATCCACCAAACACCAGCCAACAACCAACAACCACCAAACACCAACCAACAACCATGAAACATCCACCAACAACCACGAAATACCAAACACCAACCAACAACCACCAAACACCAACCAAGAACCATGAAACACCCACCCCTAACCACGAAATTCCAAACACCAACCAACAACCACCAAATACCAACCAACAACATTGAAATACCAACCAACAACCACCAAACACAACCACAAAATCCCAAACCCCAACCAACAACCACCAAACGCAACCACAAAACACCAACCAACAGCCAACCAACCAAAAACCAACAAGCACCAAACACCAACCAACCAAAAACTAAATACAAGCTAACAGCTACCAACCAACAACCACAAAGCTGGATCATTGCAGAACCTCGATTATTTTCTTTTTCAGCCATTCTGTTGGAAATTTGCTGCTGTGCTCAAGATCATTGTCCTGTTGATGACCCAGTGTGGTCCAAGCTTCAGCTGTGGAACAGAAAGCCTCACTTTTTGACTCTAGAATACTTTAGTGTAGAAAGGAGTTCGTGTTCCACTCAGTTTATCATCCCTCCACCATCGCACTGGCAGCTGGTAGGAGGTATTTGTTTCCTCCAAATGATGGAAGTTTGTGTGTTTGAGCCTGCAGAGCTTATTTTACATTTATTCATTTATCATTTATTTTACATTTATTTATTAATTATGAAGAAGTGGACTAACGCAGCAAAGCAGGAACTGCAGGACTGTTTTGAATGCACTGATTGGA